TAACTTTTTAAAGCCGGTGGTACAACTGTTGTATCAGCATTTCCTTCCTGTTTTAGAGTAACCACCCATCTTTAGAGGAGTGGTCCACCTTTGCCATTCAAAGCAGTCACTGGCTACACTCCGCTTCTCATCAGTTCTGCTACATTTGGGTGAACACAAGTTTCATCTAACACTTGAAAACCAAATAGATGCCATCTCTCTCTAAATATCAGAGCACAGTCTCATGAATTTATTTTGTACCATTCACTATTTTTTTTTTTTTTTTTTTGTCAAACAGAAGATTTCACAGTTTAAATAAAAAGATACATGAGAAGATACTTTATGAAAAATTTGTCATAAACAATTTTCTTCATTCTGCTTTGAAAATATTCCTGGATAATCATTTTGATCACTGTGATGATGAAAAAAAAAAAAAAAAAAAAACTGAGATTTACTACAATGTAAATGTAAATACCCAATTTGCCCTCTCTTTTGAAAATATGAAAGATTTTTTTAAAGTAGTTGACAAAATTTAATATGTAGAACATATGTACATCTATCTCAAAACTTAAAATCAAGCAAAATTCAGCCTTATATATATAAGGATATAACAATGGTTCTAGAAGAAAATTGCCTATGATAGCACACTGACACAGAATTCTTCTCAAACTATTCTGAAAATTACTTTTGATGAATTTTTTTTACAATCTTAAAACATAGATGAAAATCATCTTTAGCAAATATTAAAATGAAGCCTTACTCCCTGTCTAAAGGACACCATGAAAATGCAAAGATTAAAAAAATTATCTCATCAGATTGCAGACATCAGTCTATCACTGCATATATAAAACTGATTGCATGTATAGGTATTTCAAAATTATTTTTCACTGCTAATGTACATAAAAGCCAGTTTTACCCAGAAAATATTCTCTAAAGGTCTAACACTTTTGGCAAACGGCTCACCAGCAGCCGAGCAGTAAAGTCGCTGCACAATGGAAATTCAACCTGAGATCGAATAGTGGGAAACGGGCTCGCTGTGCATGGTTGGTTTTTCTCATGCTCAACATGGATGCTAGCTAGTTTCCCTTAAAAAGTTATCCATGAAGGCATCCATCCCTATAGGCAGTTAGCCTAGAGTTGCTTTACCTTAACCAATTAACCTAATCTAGCCTTTGGCCAATACTCCAATGAAATATTTGTTAAATAATCAAACAACCAACACATCTCATTTTTTTATATACGTAGGTCAGTCAGAAAGTTTGTTGCACTACTGTGTAAATATGTTCCATCTAAGACTACTTGGATGACACTGTGTGGCAACACTTCAGACATGTACCTTTAACGCATGACGTAGCGGCTTCCCTGAGGCAAGTTTAGTTTTTCTGATAATCAGTCGCAAGCATGTCTCGACAGCTGCAAACAGAATCCAAATTGGAAATGCATGCAGTGATTCGTTTTTTTGTCGGCAAAAAGGTGAAACTGGACTGAAATTTATGGGCAGTTGCATGAAGTGTATGGTGAAAATGCAATGTCATATCAAGCTATCACAAAATGGTGCAACATGTTTGAGAATGGACGTACAGATACTGACGACGCTGAGCGCGAGGAAAGATGATCAACTGCAACAAATTCAGAAATCACTGCTCATGTGAATGAATGCATTGATGCGAACAGACGCATAACGATAGACAAAAATCTTAAATGAACTGAATATTTCTCATGGAAGTGTGCAGAAAATTATTGCCGATCACCTTAAATTTCGTAAAGTTTGTGCTCGATGGGTGCTTTGTCTATTGACAGAGGAACATAAAGGAAAGCATTTTGAAAGTGCATTTGCATTTCCGCAACGTTACCAAAAAGAAGGAAATGAGTTTTGGGACAAATTTGTGACTGGAGATGAAACTTGGACTCACCACTTCTGACCTGAAACGAAACGCACTTAGCTCGAGTGGAAACATTGCAATTCCCCGACACAAACATAGTGACAAACTGTTCCATGTGCAGGAAAGGTTATGTTGACGCTGTTTTTCATCAGAGAAGGCGTGGTGCATACAGAGTTCATGCCGAATTCTGCCACAATTAATGCATCTTCTTATTGTGAAACACTAAAATGATTGCGACAATCACTTAAAAATTGACGGCGAGGTAAACTGTTCAACGACATTATGCTCCTGCATGACAATGCAAAACCACACTCAGCAAAAACAAACGTGTGACCTTCTTAAAAATTTTAGGTGGGAAGTGTGGAATCACCTCCTGACTTCCATGTGTTTGGTCCCATGTAACAAGAGCTTTCAAAGCAATGGTACCATTCAGATGCTGAAGTGAAAGCCGCAGCCCAACAATGGTTACCGGACATTGCACAGGATTTCTTTGCAGAAGGCATCGGAAAACTTGTACCATGCCTTGACAAATGCTTGAATAATGGAGGTAATTACGTTGAAAAGTAGATTTTGAATGGAACTTTAAGATATAAATAAAGTTCTTGTAAAATTTTGCTTCTGTTTTGTTTTCTTAGGCAGTGCAACTAACTTTTTGACTGACCCTCGTATAAATAACAAAACTAAGATTAAAAAAAAGGTTTACTTTATCAAGGACGTATTTACTATTTTGACAACTTCTACTCTCATTTCCTAATTTCTAATAAAAATATGAGGATATAAATGGAGTGTAAAAAATAAAGTCATAAAATTCCTTAAATGATTACCTGTTCAGAAACAGTAAATGTTCAATAAACATCTACATACATTCTGCACATTTGGTCTAAATAAATAATAAAGCTTAGTTTAAATTAAATCAAAATAAACATCTAAAAAATTGCAAACATAGCAACCCATTCTAGATTACTGAACAGCATCTAACAAAGCGGAGGGGACAAATAACTACTCTAATGACTTTTTTTCATTAGTGAACAGTAAAGAAGGGGGAGAAGTATTTTTGGATTGCAGAGCCATAGCTAGGGTTTTCAGTGCCCAGGAACAACTGAAGATTTTATGCCGCTTTTTGTATGCCAAGAATAGAAAAAATTTCATAAGATCAGTTTGGCATCCCCTGGATGGTTGCATCCGGTGACAGATGTCCCCCCCTTGAACTACCCTAGCTATGCCATTGTTGGATTGCACCATTTTAGAAATAACATTATGATAATTTCAGCCTGGTTTTAGGAGGTTAATCTTACCCCTCTGGACTGGCCAGTTAATAAAAGAAAGACACTTGGTACCAGGTCATACAGTACCTTCATGTGAAGCCTTCAGCACACAGTACCGACAGAAATTGTCTTACCAACTTACACTGCAATCATAGATATAACAGTTGTGGAAGGTCACTCTTCGATTCCACTTGGGTAATTTTGTAATATACTTAAGATTTACAGAAGGGGTGATATGCGTTGGTTGACTGGGTGTAGGTCACCAGACAATGTAATTTGACTTGTTAGTAATTGTTTTCATATTTGAGAAATGACCAAATGATCAATGCTGAAGAAAAATGTAACATCTATGATTAACTGTTTGCTTAAATGCATCTAACAGCATGCTAGTGCACACTACCTGCTGTTCATCTTTTTTAGCCACAGAAATATGATTTTTCTCAAAAATTATTTGACAAAAGTTATTAATGCTTCTTAAAAGCATTTAAATGAACTTCCTCAAACCCTTCAAAATACTGCTATCTTCAGAGACTGCTTAATTACCATACGTTTAGAGAGTCAGTCCTGAGTGGTTATAATACACGATATATGTATACTGCCACCTGTATTTGTAGTGATATCCAGCCACTAAAATTTAACTCTACTAATATGCTCTGCATGTTTAACTTTTGGAAGCTAGTGTACTTATGTAGCAAACGATTGTCTAAGATTACAGTTTCATAACATGAGTTTCCTTCTTTTGTCTTGAATTGCATATATAAAAATGATGATAATAAATGAATATTTGCAGCATTTTATACTCCCCTTAATGCTATTGTAACAATAAATATATTTTTTTTATTTCTGAAGTAGTTCATCACATACATTATATTTATGTGCAATATAAGGTGTTTCAACGAATTTTACCTAAAGAGAGTTATTGATTGTTTCTTGAATTAATTTTTATTCATATATCTATACATTATTTTTACTGAAATTCTACAAATATTTATCATTCTTTGACTAATATATCACTACTGACAAAGAGATTTTTGAGAACAAAAAAATTTAACTGACAGTCAGTACGAATTCTTGATGTGGCGTATAAAAGACAAAAGAACTTGACAACTGAAGAGGAAATTATGTCCATCTATAAAACTGAAAAGAAAACATTAGTGAAAAAAAAAGAGAGAAACAGCTCTTTGAAAGAAATGTTTGATAAATCAAATAAAAAAATATAGAGGATTTATTTATTTTTTTAAAATTTTGATTCATTTAAGATCATAAATGTTTCATTATTTCATATTTAATTTTATTATTTCTACATGCCATTTTACCGGATTTAAACAGGAGCCTTAAATCCAGAGGCATCTAAAATTGCAGAAATCCTGGACTTAGATCTTGGGACTTTATACAGTTCTATCTTTAATATACCACTCCATTTTTTTCAGTCTCCAGATAATGTAGTAACACGAGAAATGAAGATCAGTATACTCAAAGCCCTCCAAGTTTATTATAAGCATTAATCAAATATTTGTTATAAATAATTTTTTCAGCACTTTTGTAGAGGCACTATATATATAAATGCATGGTAAGATAAGGCTATAGAAGTCAAAGACCCAACTTGCCAAATATAGTTAGTTTATTAAGTGAACAAAATTAATATCTCATTATTAAGTCTGCTCTTTTCATGAATTAGCATCCTTAACTGAAAAACTATCCTTTCACTATATTTGATTTTGCAGCCAAAAATACACACTAACGTAGGACCAGAAATTAAGACTACAGAAATAAAACTGCATTAATAAAATCAGCTGTTTCAGTGCGAAAATATTCATAAGAAGTAATTCAATGAACAGAATTTTAAAAAATGGAAAGCATTGAAAATTCATACCTTTCACATGTTTCACATTCACAAAGTGAATTCTTATCACCAAAGAAGTTTTCTCCATAGAAACACGTTATCTCATCTCCAATATCAATATCTCGAAGCACCTCTACACAAGCACTATCTCTGCCAGTTGATACTAACTAAAAGATATATGAATAATTATTCCAAAAAATTATGTTTATCAACAAATTATATCAGCAATCAAAATGCATTTTTATATACTTAAACCTGAATCAAAAGTTTGTGGTAGTTAAAAAAGTTACAGCATGAAGCATTTTTACAACTTTGAAAGCATATCCATAATGGAAAGGGAAAACTACATAATATTTGACTATTAAAAGATATAAATATAAAAAAAAATAGTTATTTAATTTTAAATTACATTTGTGTGTTATAAAATTATATATATGTGTGTGTGTGTGTGTCTCTGTGTTCTATTATCTAAAATAGTGGAGCTGCCAACATCGAGATCTGAAAAACCAGGAGGTTTTCATGTTTTATGGTGATGCCATTTCAAAGAACTCCAAACTGACTGAAATTCACAATGACTCAGGTTACTGAACTATTTGTAATACATTTCAGATGTAAAATGTATTAGCATTTAGTCAGATATTTTAAACCTTTATGCTCTTTGGCTAATTCTATTTTGTAATTTTCTTACTTTTATACTGACAAATCCTGAATAGGGAAGAAAATATTTTATTTATTGAAGTACCTCTTAAATATAATGAATTATTAATTAGTCCACATAATATTTATCTAGATAAACTTAGTAACTTTCTATATAATGAAGTGAAATAAATACAAATATTAACTAATTAAACATTGAAGTTCTTGTCCAGGCTTTCTTATCTTATCTAATCATTATTTCCTATCTTGTTCATTTGCGGTTTTGCAGCTGAAGATGATGGTTCGGTAAAACCATCGAAACTAGTCCTGTGAAAATTTTGTGAATATAACGCTGATTTTTGTTGTTTGACTTCTGGATTAGTATTGAGTTGAATCTTCATATAAAAATCTATATGTGGCTGTAGCAGATTAAAAGAACTCGGATAAAATGATATTTAATGAGGTCAATAAAATATAGTTCAGATGAAAGAAAATTTAGCATGAAAATTATTCTGAAAATCACTAGGGATGGAGGAATACAATTTGCACAATTTTTTAAAATTTCATTTATTGGTAGAAAACTCTTCCTTTCATAACGTCTAAGACTATGAAACCAGGTGATGCGATTATAAACTGAGACAGTTGGCAGCTATAAAATACAAATAATCTATTTGTCAGTTATTCACAAGTTATGGATGCATATATTTATAAATAGCATGCTTAGCAAGTTTGATAATTAAGATGGCTACAGTCATTGTTTTGACTTGAAATCTAACTTTGGTTAATATCCAATTCATTTTACTTTACAAACACAGATTAATGCGACTATTTACATGTAGAGTTTAGTATAATGATCAAATGAACCGTACATCTTAACGAAAAATATTCAATATTTTAGTAACGTAACTAAAGTGCTGATTACTTAAAATGAGAATTTTTCGATCACAACATTCCAAAATAAAACTGGTTGCCAGATCCATACATAAGAAAATTACAAAACAAACAGGAAATGCAAAACTTAATAGGAGTGGCAACAGTCATTTTGACAGGTTTAGATTTACTTTAGAGAGCTATGTTTTCATTTATGGGTTCAGGTTGGAAGGTCTGAGTTTTGATAGCATTATGGGAAAAAACAGGAATTTTTAAAACAATCTCTTTAAAATATTATTGTATAAATAAGTAATATACAACATGAAAGATAAATTTCTCAAAAACTGCCACGAGAGGGAGGTATTTTCTTGATTTTAATGGCAAAATGCTTCAGGTACTTTATACCTGGATTTATGTACTTTTAAATACATTGCTTTAATTTTTTTGACATATTTCAAGATGCATATATATATACACATTCTTATAGATATGGAAAATATTCTAATATATGCATACTTGCCAACCTATGACACTAAAAAAATCAGATTTTTCACAATGTTAAAAAGACTTTTTAAATGATAAAAATACAGTTTTTAATAATGAATTAACTTTAAATAGTAACTAATTCTTAAATGCAAGCAACACAAAAATACATTAAACATAAAAAAACATTTTCATTATTTGCATCCACATTGCGAAATCGAAAAAGCGCAAATACAGCCGGTACACATCGCAAATTTATTACATTTCCTTGAGGAAATAATGGAAGGAAAGTCAACTGTGCACGATTTTTGAAATGTACACGAGTATTTCATGTTTCTCGCAGACATAACAAAAGATTATAATTTCTAAAACTATTTCCCGAAGACACGTGCACTCACACAACTCGGGACAAATTGAACGAAATAACTAAAGAACATCCAAATAACAGCTTGCCTCGTCCTCATTGGCTAATATATGCCAGCTGACACGCAGTGGAGTTCGATGCCCATTGGAGAACGACGTTTCTGGGATACGTATAATGCTCTCACTCACAAAGCAGAAGTTATCTGATTCACAAGGTTTTGTTTTAGATATAATCTAGAGGAAATTCAATTGCTTTCAGACGTCCAAAATCACTTTTTTTTTTTTGGTTCATATAATAAAGTATTAAGCCAAGTTCCATAAAAATCATGAGAAATCTTAAGAATAAGAAAAAATCGGGAGAAATATATTGTGAATCGGGTTGGCGGGAGATCGGTCGAAAATAGGGAGTCTCCCGCTTAAATAGGGAGAGTTGGCAACTCTGTATATGGCTTTGCTGGTCAGAGTATTAAATGAATATTTCATGTGACAAATAAAGACAAAGTTTTTAAAAAATAACAAATATAATTCAGTGGTAGATGAATGTAAGATTTTTTTTTTAAAAGCCTACGCTCATTCTTTTTCACCTTCCCTATTAGCTAATTAAATAGTTACCCCGCCAGGAAAAAAGAAAACTAATCAAAGCATCACACGGTTCCAAAATTCTCATCATCAACAGATTCCTTTAATTGGTTACTGAATATAATTGAACAAATCATTACCAAATGACTGAATATTTTATGAAATTGCATTCTGTCCTTTGTAGGGAACAGCTGAAGTTAGATTTTTTAGACAGAAAGAAAAAGGGGGGGACTGACTGAAATGCAAACTTTACACCAATTTTTCATGCTGTGTATTAAATTATCCTGGCATTCTGAGGAAACAAAGTTTATTAACGTGGAGTTAGTGCCCTGAAGCTTGCAAGCCACATTTTTGCTCTTAAAATAAACGGTCACTAGTGCCACTCCATTGGGGTGAGCAATCAATTATCATCAATTAAAAGGAAATAACACTGCTGGCCATTAAAATTGGTACACCAGGAAGAACAGCAAATAGTGGAATATTATTTATTATACATAAACAGCAAAATGAGATGAAGATGACTAAATCTGCAGGTGGTTTGGGCGACACAGAGCTGCCATCTTATGAAGGATAAATAGTTGCAACCAAGATGTACTGAGCTTGGATGTCAAACACAGGTACTTAATTCTATGCCAGAGTTTATCAACTGTAGTAGCGTGTCAGTCTCTCGGTAACCGACGACTAGATATTCTCATAGGAAACATATGTTGAGAATGTGCTCGGCAGAACAGTCGAATGCCCTCTGTATTAAGGAAAGCCAGGACAGCACAACATGCAGTTGTCGAAGACAGGCCACATCCATGGGCCCTAACACATTAGAAATGCAATTGCAGCTGTCTACATTACTCAATGTGTGATCAAAGGTGACTGAGGTGTTTACTCAACAGCACCTACCAACCGAGTAAAGCCGAGAGGACACTATATCTGTCTTCTTAGATGTTAATAGCCTGGGACAAACCAAGTTCCTACCATGACATTAAGTATGACACTCTTTGAACCCATATTCGTCTGATCCTGACCAAAATCAGCATCAATGTCATAGAACAGTAAGCTGCTGTCCTGATAGACCACAATCCTGCCATGTGCTGACAGGAATTTCTCCTTATATGAAGCATAACACAGCCTTTACATAAACAACAACGTTCAAACACAATTTCAAAATGATAAACCTGCTGCGCAATCATTCCATTTATACACACTGTAGATGGTGTTACTCATATCTGCTTTGTGCACATGCACTGGAATGCAAATCATTTGCATATATATACAGTAGAATTCCAGAAATCCGCAAAGCTTGGGACCAGAGGTTGTGCGGATTTCAGGACAGAAAAGATAAAGCATAATATTCGGACTAAAAGTGCAAAATGAATAAGGCATATTAGATACATTTAATTAAATTATTATATACATTATTGCAATAATTTATTATATGCATTAAATTATTATTACATATATAAATTGATTATATTATTCATTGTATTATATGTACACAGCATCGAGGTTTGCCGATTTCGCCTCATGCAGAGATTTCCGGTTTCGGATGCCGGTGTTAGAATCACTGTTGCTGTAAAATTTCAACAGCTTTTCTTTATTTTTCCATATATCATACACAATTGTGTCGCAATTCCATACGATTCTGCTATAAATCAAGGAGTAGCACCTACTTCCATCTTTTGCAGAATTTGCACTTTTGCGTTACCGTCAATGCAACGTGTTTACGGTTTTCAACGTTGCAAGCAGTAAAATCACAAGTGCATTTCTCATCTATCATTGTATTAAAAAGGGCTGAAATTTAAAATATTTTAAATTTATCCACAAAATATCCGGATAAAAAAGGCAACACTAAACAATCTCGTGAAATGAAATAACAAAGCTCAGAAAATACGTGAATCGTGAACTTGAACAAAGAGTTGAGTGAATCGTCTCGATGAAAGCTATAAATGGATAAACATTCCTGGAATTAATTGGGGAGAACTATTTTATTTAGGAATTGAAAATTAAAGTTTTTTTACCATTAAAAAGACTTGACTCGTTAATTTTTAATGTAACACCAGCAAACCTAGGCGAAAAGAATGAAAGACTGTGGAATGAGAAAAACGCTGATGCCGTAGCATATATATAACTTTCACTGTCGGATCAACAGGCGTTCAGTTCGTCGCAGAGAAGAACACAAAATACTTCAGGAGAAAATAAAACAGAATATTGAAAAATAGATGGCAGTAACGAGCTAAAAAAT